GATATGTATCAGTATAATGATATATATTATTATAATATCATCTGTTCACTAAAAATTTCACTAAAAATATTTCCTAAAAATCCTCTGAGCTCTTTCTGTTCATTTTTCCCCTCCCCCAACAACCCTTGGCAACTGCTGATCTTTTTATTGTGTCCATAGTTTTGCTTCAGAATGTCATATAGTTGGCATCATAGAGTATGTAGTTTTCTTTGGTTGCCTTCTTTCACTTAGTAACGTGCATTTGAGTTTCCACCATGATCAAGTCACCATATTTGTGACTTGATCACTCATTTTTTTTTTATTTTACTATCTTTATTTTTATTTTTTTACCATTTTATTTATTTTTTTAGTTTACATCCAAGTTAGTTAGCATATACAGTTCTTAGTCTCTGGAAGTGAAAGTTACCTCATACAAATGGGTGGAACTTTTACTGTTTCCTTGAGGCACAAGGCAGGTGCCAGAGGAAAACCAAGAGTCAGGCTAGGGCACAAGGAAAGAACATGGCAGATGATACTAAGGAAGAGCCTTGAGGGAAGGGAACACAAACAGGGAATATGCTGTGTTACATGGGATGGGAAGTAAGCTTCCACAGCCCATGTTTTCCCTCCTGGTTCAAGTTCTACTGAGCTTTCCCCCAGGAGATGAACTAATAATGTGCATCAGATTGCATTTTTAGACACAAATCTGCTCTTCAAGTGAGGCTATAGAACCTGAGCTTTGCCCATCATTGGCAGGGTGCATGTGCCTTGAGGCAAAGGCACTAACGTAAACCATTTCTGTTGGAGCTCTTGGTTTGCCGAATAAAACCATGGAAGCTCAGATCCTCGACATGTACCATGTGCAGAACTTGCTACCTTTTCCCCCTTGGGATGGGAGAAAAGTGGGCAGAGAGCAGGCCCTTATATTATGCGAGTGCATGGGACCACGTTTCTGTAGTGTTAACTCACCTCGAGTGAAACGTTTGGAGAGGTGGAGCTTGAATACGCTTGAGCCTGGGAACAGAACTTGAGTGAACAGGTGAAAGAAGAAAACCAGGAGATAACATGTGGCATATTTTAACTGTAGCGATCCAGATTTCTTTAGTCTGTGATGTTTCGATTTACTCTTGGTGTTTCTTTAACTTCATACACAATTATTGCTTCAGAATGTTTTCATTTACTCTGATTCTCTGCTGTGAATAATGAAGAGACAGGCTATGACTTCCCCTTTTCTTTGCATCAAACACGATTGTCCAAAACTCTGCCCCTTCCTCCATCCCCAGGCAGTGCCTTCACTTTCACAGGGTTTTAAGAAATATCCTACCTAGTATTTCCTCCTTACTGATTGCGCACTGTCAGAAACTGCTGCTTCATTACCAAAGACTTTTAACCACATGTTCTTATGTGTAACCTGTATTCCTATTTGTTGGGATTTAGAATCCATGATGCTTCTCACTAGCTAAGGATATATATAGTAACTAGGTGAGACAGAGCCCTGCCCACTGACCTCAGGGCACGGAGTGGGCACAGAGATTTTCTACACATACCAGGGACTTGTCTCTGAGAATCAGCACAGGCACTTATTATATACATTTCTCTTTAAAAAAATTTTTTTAATGTTTATTTATTTTTGAGAGGGGGAGAGACAGAGCACCAGTGGGGGAGGGGCGGAGAGAGGGGGAGACAGAATCCAATCCGAAGCAGGCTCCAGGCTCCAAGCTGTCAGCACAGAGCCCGACGCGGGGCTCGAACTCGTGAACTGTGAGATCATGACCTGAGCCGAAGTCGGACACTTAACCGACCGAGCCACCCAGGTGCCCCAGTATACATTTCTTGATGTGGATGGGAAGTAAAGCTCTTGATTCAGTAGTGGAGCCTGTAAAATGATTATGAATATTTTAGGTGAAAGTTAGGCTGGGTGTAGGAAGAACAGGGTGTTTGTCTATTACATGCTAAGTTTTACAAAAGAGAAGTATTAAATAACTCAGCGTTGGTCCTTCTGATTTGAGTATAGGTTTTCCCCACCAGAGCCTGACATGGTTGTCTCTACCCTGACCAGCAGACCCAAGAGGAGAGAAGAAATAGAGACTCCATTAGAGGAGACAGGGAGCCTGAGTCCTTCCCTCAAATAGGCATTGGATTGATATGTAATGACATCCATGATAACAAGGTAGAGATAGCAATAATTAGCTGTCAGTGTTTGTTGCCTCTCTCTAAAAGAGTTGAGCTTTGGATCACTCTTGAACTCCCTGCATTGACATGTCCAAGTTTAGAAAAAGTAGAAAGTCATGGTTACCAAGAGCAGAAAGGTTGTTAGCATTTGCCAAGAATTGGTGCTAGGAAAAGTCTGTTATAGAGGTGACTGTTTTAAGAGTATGGTCAAGGGAAGTGGAGTCCTAGGAAGAAAGGTTTGGGGTGAGGAGATATCTAAATGTGTAGGTGATTCTAAGAATACAGTGTTATTGGCAAGGAAACAATACACTGTATTTATTGGTTTCTGAGAGCAGTGGTCTACTTTGAGGTTTGATGTTGTACATGGGCACATTCTGTTCACCTGCGCTGTGCTGGCTTGAGAATGTACTTTGGGTTGGATTTTTGTGAGCCACAGACCTGTAGGGTTAGCCTCGCTCTCGGAAGCTCTTATCCTATCCATTAGCAGAATGCCAAATTATTTGGCCTCTTTGTGTTCTGCTCTACCAAACTTTTGAGTTTAAAAAAAAAAGAAAAAATGACATGTTTCTAGAACTTTTTTTGGGAGTGCCCCACTGTTGAATGTAGGCTGGGCAGCTGTGTTGCTGTGGGCAGCCAGGTGTGGAAGAACATTTTTATTCCTGATGTCTGTGACGCGGAATGGGTCCTTATCAGTATTTCATCCTGCGGACCTACACTGAAGTGATTTGATGAGAATGTTCTCAAACTGAGAATGCATGGGATGTGGCACCTGCCACATCAAAGAAAGATAAACACGGCAAGAGGGCACTTTCCATCTTTAATACAGCTGACCTTTAGCAGCATCACCTGTGCGTCCCGCTGTGCACACAGAGTTTGATACAGCAAGACATCGATGTCGTGGGAACATATTCCAAGTATGTGTTTTTAAGGTTATTTGTTCCTCTGTTCCCATAAACAGGTATCAGTATTACCTGCAAGTCAAAAAGGACGTGCTTGAAGGGCGATTGCGGTGTGCGTTGGAGCAGGTGATCCGACTGGCCGGCTTGGCCGTGCAAGGTAAGGAGCGTGGCGGCCGGCCCGCGAGATCGCGTTTTCTGTTTGCCGTGTTGCTGGCCTCTCTGAGAAAAAAAGTGCATTTACTGAAACGATCCCTCGGTAACTCTCACTTTTCATTTCAAGAGACGTTAAAAACGCAGACATAGTGATTTCTGGTGGCAGGCTGATGGACTTCGCAAGGCTGCTTGCAAATTGCTCACGCTTGTGTAATTGTAGTTTTATTTGAAGAAATAGCAGCTTTCATCCTGACTTTAATTAAAGCTACATGCAGGGTTTGTGGAACATTTTCTCAGAATGATTCCACTGCCCAGTGTGGTCATATTTTGTGGCTTCATGTCGTGACTCTTTGACTTTCACATCAGTTTCAAGTGTGATAGCTTTAAATATTGCAGTCTAATTTATACTCACACACTTAAAGAGAGGAACATATGTATATGTATGTGTAATGGCATCGATAGATAGATAGATATTGCGAAGCAACAAACACATAGTGAAGTACCTTCATCTTTCAATCTATCCTTTTTTTTTTTTTTTAATTTTTTTTTTCAACGTTTATTTATTTTTGGGACAGAGAGAGACAGAGCATGAACGGGGAAGGGGCAGAGAGAGAGGGAGACACAGAATCAGAAACAGGCTCCAGGCTCTGAGCCATCAGCCCAGAGCCTGACGCGGGGCTCGAACTCACGGACCGCGAGATCATGACCTGGCTGAAGTCGGACGCTTAACCGACTGCGCCACCCAGGCGCCCCTCTTTCAATCTATCCTACTTCGAGTTATGGGAGCGATTGTTTTTACCATTTCTAAGTTGTTACATATATTTTTACATATATTTATGTAAAATATGTCACATGACTTTTACATATATTTATACATTACTCTTAACTGAGTGGTGCCTTAATTGCCTTTAGTCATATTGGAAACAAGAAGGTAAAATATAATTTTTTAAAAGAAACAGGTTTCCCTTTCAGAGACTGTTTTCTTTAAAATCACTTCGTGTCCAGACGGAATGCCAGCCGCCAAGCCCTTGCTGTGAGGACTGTTGTTGTAGAAGCTGTGAACTGAACTTCCCATCCCAAATTCTGAACTGAAGTTGAACCTTTTGGGTTCTAGAATGTCTAAAGAGGCAGACGTCCTTTGATCTCTTTCATCCCGGAGTATTAGCAGTTTAGCAATTTTTGTTGGACGTACGACTCCAGTAGTTAGCTATCGTTACCTTGTGGATGAAAATACACAAAATATGTTGTATCCCATCTCTCCGCTTAAAGACTGGAAAGGAAAGGAACGGTGCCCAGAACAATACGAAAGGACAGTTAGTGGTCATGAGAGAAAGATCATCAAAATGAAGGAGAAGACCCCCTTTAGTAGGAAGAAGAGAGAGAAGATCCACTGTGTCCCTCCTCTGCAAATTGGATCTTTCTCTTTTTAAAAAGTTTTCTCCTTTCTTCACTTTATTACTCGTTTTGGCCTCTTACTCTTCAATCCCTGGCTGTATCACAGGCCTCCTGGATCCTGGAAGATCCTGGTGTGATAGCTTTTAGGCTAAAGGAAGTTGGTGAACTAACTCTCTGTTCGCTGGGGTCTTGAAGCCAGCCATTCCCCTAGCTCTCATATTTGTAAAATAATTTTCCCAAGAACCCTTGTTGGGCCCTTAGGAAGACACATCCACTTAGTTATACGTCGTGATGAAATACAGTAACTGATGAGTAAATTTGAAGACAGGCCGAGCATGTGATTGTTGCCATCCTGAATGCCTCACCTAATTGCTCATTAGTTAAATGCTGAGTTTCTTAGGTGCGTCTCTGTCTTCTCAGCAATGTGTGGACGCTGGCCTTGTGTGTGGACTACCCCAAAGATACCTGCACCCATTTCTGCCTGATGCCAGATCTTTTGCATGAAATTAAGTCTGTATGCAGTTTGATCTTTTTTGAGAGCAGGTAGGATTAGATGCAAGGCATGTATAGATTGATAATATAGACATAGTTTCTTTTTGCATGTGCTCAGACATCCCATGGTGAGATGAAAACAGGACAAAACAGAATTTTTGGCATCTTGCAACATGTCAGCTTGTTTAGGAGGTGTAAAAATGTGCAGTGTTGCTTGCCAACGGTGATTTACGGTGGGAATTTCCAGCTGCAAATATATGAAAAGTTGCAGATGGGTTTGGCTCTTCAGTTCTCCCAATTAACCTTGAGTTAAAAAGCCCCCTTGGCAGATATTCTTAAGATAATGTGTTGGTGCATATTTAACAAAAACATAAGTATAGGTTTGTTTCAAATTTTTAAAATAGCTCAGGGATCGCTTTCAAATTTCCCCATTTTTTTCCCCTAGAAAATTGTGTAATAGGGTTCACATGCTGATATTTACAGTATTGCTAAGTAAAAGTGGTAACAATATCAAACATGTCGTGGCACCGTTTTTTTTTTTATCGAATAGTGAAGAAATAGGACGAAGTGGGAATAATAAATGTGGCGATAATTTTACCCTTGCTTTATTCCATCTTTAATTTCATGTAATAAATACTACCCTTCCCCCCGCTTTTCTTCTCAGCTGATTTTGGAGACTACAATCAGTTTGATTCTCAAGATTTCCTCAGAGAATATGTGCTGTTTCCTATGGTAAGTGTGATTTCCTTTTTCTTAATTAATTTTCTACCTTCTCTGGGTGTTTAATTGTTTCCTTTGAAAATCTCAGAGGATTTTACATACGTATATTTCCCCAGGGAGGAAAGTCCATGCATTTATAAAGTGGGGACGCATTTTATAAACAAACACTGAAAAAGGTACTTCTTCCCGCCTCCTCAAGGCACCTCTGTCCCCTGACACCCCTCTCCCCAGTCCCCGTTTCCACCTCTCCAGGGCCATGGCATTCTTCCTAACTTTCTGAACATATCAAGTTTGTTCCCATCCCAGAACCTTCGTCCTTGGGTTTCCTGTGCCTTCAGTACTGTGCTCCAGATCTTTCTGTGACTTGACATTGAAATCTTGAGTCAGAGATCACCTCCTCAAAGACGACTCCCTTTTCCTTGGCCACCTGTATGATACACTCCAGCCATCAACCACTTCCTGCTAAATCACCTTCTATGCGCATTCTTCAGGGCCCTTTCAGTATCTAAACGTGTTCAGTGTTGACGGATTGTCAGCCGGGACGTCAGCTCTGTGGTCCGTAGGCAGATACCCTTTCTGTCTTGTTACTGTTAACTGGCGTATATTCTGCACTCGTGAAATTTCATTGAATGAGTCAATGGAGTCAAATGCCCAGTCTTGGGTTAAATTAGGAACGAGGCTAGGTTTTAATCCCGGGAGAATGTATGTTTGCTGTTTGGAAGCTTTGGGGTAAATGAGAAGAGTTTTAATGAGGAGGAATTAAAATTTTTGAAAAGCTATACCTGCTGCAGTATCCTGGCTCTGATTTTAGAAACCCTGATCATTCATCACTTATTTTTTTATCAACTGTTTTGCCCAAAGCACTGGCCTGGGTAACTAACTACCAGGAAATAAAGTTATATAAGAAACGGTGGTTGTTCTCAGGGAAGCGGCCGAATAGTTGAGTAAATAGGAAGTTTGCAAAATCAGAATGCAAAGCCAAGAGTAATAAAGTGCAGTCAGGATTTTATGTGGAGAGAGGTTACCTCTGCTGGGGGGGGGGGGGGGGTGCGGTTAGGAAAGGCTTAAAGACTAATGGTGGGTGAGTTGTGTCTCAGAGGGTGGGCAGGATTGCAGCAGGCAGACAGGTAGGGAACAAGGAATGATCTAGACAGGGAGGGAAAGAGCAGGGGCAGGGTGGCATGAGTGATCGTGTAAGAGTCTGTGGTGAATCTGACTGTCGCTCAGGAGTGGCAGAGGGGAGTGGCAGCAGATGAGATGAAACATCTCAGGGCTAAGAACCCGTGGACTCTGGGGATTTATAGACCCCACACTTTGAGAACCGCTGGATTAGAGCAGTAAGACCGTTTGTGAAAGGAGGTCAGATGAGAATCATGGTGTTCTGGGCAGGAGGTGATTTAGGTATTATGAGTGACAAAAAGAACACGAAAGCAAAGCAAGAGATATTTTGGAAATCAAACGAGCAGAACTTGGCATCCAGTTGGCTGTGGCACATGGGAGAAAGTAGTGTGTCTGGTGACAAGGGTTCAAGTTTTGAAAGACTAGCATATGTAAGGCTGTAGTCATTATCCCTGTCAGGGCTTGAGATGAGCTTAGGTTGCCGCATACTTAACCTTTATTCTTATAGGTTAGGGAAATACTGCGAGATCTCTATGGTTTCATGAATAACTCTGTCCTTATTCTTCTTCCCGCCAAGAAAACATCTGTATCGTCTGATAAATCTGTTGTTTTTCATGCCTTGTTAACTCTACCCATCAAATTGACCTGCATTCAAAGAGATTAGCATATTACTTGGCGCAGAAGCTCTTCATAGGATTTGGTGTCAACATGCTTGAACCAACATCTCTAACATCTCAGAGGTTCCCCAGCGCGCTTGGGGAGACGAAAGTGAAGCTCACACCTTAGAATTTTAGAGAGCGTGCCTTTTTGTGCTAGTGGAGGTAATCAATTGGGTTAAGAATTTTCCACAATTTTTTTTTCACCTTTGTCTCCTAAAATGCTCTTACTCACCTAGCCTTTGGGCAGAGACCAGGCTTAGGTGCTATTTAGAATTTTTTATGGTGATTGCCAGCATGATACTTACGAGTTTGTAGATGTTAGAATGCTTTGGCAGGTCCCAGTGCTGTCTGTGAAGGCTGGAAGGGGTTGTGTATCACACCTTTTCCAGAATATGACGGTCTCCATTGGGCTCTGAGCAAATCAGATACCTGAACAGCATAGACCTCGTTAAATCTCACAGCGAACGAATGAATATGGATATGTTATTCTTGGATCCAAACTTCCCCTCCTTGGGATAGTAGCTACATACATTGTGACATGTGGCTGGCGATATACATTCAAATTGAAGTTACTTAAAGTTAAATAAAATTAAAAATTCAGTTCCTCAGTGGCATTAGCTACATTTAAAAAACACTCAGTAGGGGTGCCTGGGTGGCTCAGTTGGTTAAGCAACCGAGTCTTGAGTTTGGCTCAGGTCAAGCTCTCACGGTTTGTGAATCTGAGCCTCACATCAGGCTCTACGCTGGCAGTGTGGAGCCTGCTTGGGGTTTCTCTCTCTCTCTCTCTCTCTCTCTCTCTCTTTGCCCCTCCCTCCCTCTCTCTCTCTCTCTGTCAAAATATATACACTTTAAAAAAAAATAAAAACATTTCAGTAGCCACGGGTGGCTAACCCTACTGTACTAGAAAGCTTGGATATAGAACATTTCCATCATTGCAGAAAGTCTTGTTGGACAGCACTGAAGACACTGTGACAGAAGCTGATGTCAGTGTGTATATCTGAATTGTGGATGTTCCTGGGCTTCTGCCCTGTCATTCTGCCCCATGTTGTACCCTGGATACATTGTGGCCTGTGGTCAGGTGGCTCACACTATAGGAGCCAAGCATTCTGTGCCCGTGTCCTGGCTGCCATTTACCGGCTATGTGAACTTGGGCCGTTATTTAATTCAGTTTATTTTAAAATTTGATTATTTGTCTCACCAAAGCCTCCATTTTCTCATCTAAAAATGAGCACAGCATGCCTACTCCAGCTGGGATAACTAAAGGAGAGAATGCACGTGACGTACGTTACTTGGCACATGGTGAATTCTCAGGAAGTAATTGTCCTTGTCATTGCCATCGTCATCGTCTTATGATTAGCATGACCCTCTTGTCTCTGGCACGCAAGCACAAGGAGGCTGAAGACTGTGCTTTTCGGGCAGCAACACTCCACGAATTTTGAAATGTAAGCAGAGGACAGGCAGAAGGTGCAAACGATCATTAACCTGCTCTGCGTGATTAGAAACTCCGGTTTGACGACGTGAAACTTTGTTGCCTACTGAGTTGCCTGTTGAGTTTAGTTCAATAAGCATTAATTGATCACTTACTGCATATGGAGAGCTTATAAGTGGGCATCATGTAAGAGCCCCGTGATAGGCCCGTAAGTGATGTGGAGGAGAGCTGGTGCCGTTAGGGGCCTGTCTGTGATGAAGAAGAGGGAGGGTGAAGGAGGAAGGGTCAGAGGAGCATCCGGATAACTGTGTAAGAGAGACAGTAGGCCAGCCGTGGGGAGGGCTGTATGAGCCACACTCAGAGTGGAAGAGGAAAGGCTTACTACATCCGGCATGGGGGAATACGGAAGCCCGGTCAAGGGAACGGTAGTTGAGACGAAACCTGAAGGACAGGGTGACGTTTCACTCAGTGTGATGGGCCCCTGGTGTTTCTTCCAGGAAGGCTCAGCATGAGTGTGTCAGGAGACATACAAGCATTCTGTTAGAAAGAAGGGTTTGCCTGAGGCCTTGAACCTTTGAGAGAGGAGGCCTGGAAGGGAAGGCCGGGTCACGCCGAAGAATGGTCTGAATGCCAGGCCCAGGTGTTGACCTAATTGAGCAGGCAGTGGGGAGCCATGGAAGGTTGTAAACCTTCTGCGAGGTTCCACTGGAGAATTCAAAGAGAAGACTAAATTCCTTTGGTGGGGGAGGGAAGATGGGATGAATGGCCTTGTTTGATCTTACAAAAGCAACCGAATTCGTCAAATGGCATTTCTGAGGCAGAGCGAAGAACAAAGCGAAGTACCCAGGGTACTCCACAGGTGTGCCGCTGTGTACAGGCATGCACTCTGCCATTTTTCATTCACGCAGGGCCGCTCGCGCCTTCCCTGTGGCAGGGCGCATACCTCAGGGAGGCCCCACACGCAGATGGAGGCGCTTGAATGGAGTGGGCTAGCAGAGGCGCACCTTTGGGCTTTTCTCCTTTCAAAGTAGGAAGCTGAGGTTTCATGGGGCACTTTCTGATCTTCGCTTACCTTTCTTTATTTTCTCCTACGGCCACATGCCTTTCATTAGCTTTTCACAATTAGTACCGCGTTAGGACTACGACACAATACCCGGATGCACACCTATCGCTCCCGTGTGCAAGCCACGCGGCATCTTTGCTGTTCCCCGGCGAAAAACGGTGCTTATTCCCTGTCGTGGACTTGAGTCATTTCAGTGGATGGCTAGACAGGAAAACAGCAAATTAATCAGTTAATGCACAGAAAATAAGAGCTGCCTGCACCTTCTCCGAGGTTTCTCGTGACCATCTGCAGGGCTATACAATTTCCAGCACCTCATTTACACCCTCATTTTCCAGATTTAAAAGATAGTGATTTTTCATGTTTCCCTGATTTGAGATGGGATGTTTCTTGCAGTTTTGAGGTGTACCTTTTTTGGGGGTGGGGTTTCATCCACGGAAAATTGTTAAATTGGAGGCCATCTTGGTATAGATGGTATTCTTGAATCCAGGGAATCGGCATTTGGGATGTTTTCTGCCAAACTTCAGCCCCCAGCCCTCCACCCTCAGTGTCTACGATGAGCCTCAGAGGGCCTCACCAGGACACGTAGCTCAGAGGCCCTTCTGACACCCCTTCTGGAGCTCAGAGGGAAGTGGCGCGTATATCTCTGCCCTCGTCGGGGTGCTTATCGACCTGGGGCAGATGGTGTGGAACCGGCCCCTAGGAAGGTCTGAGGCAGCTGGCCCTCGGCTTGAGCCTCCCCAGGCTACCACAAGGAATTCGGGGAGCTCTGGAATCACCACGCCTGTCAGAGTCTCAGGAACTGGTTGCTCTGGTCTCCCTGTCTTGGAATTACTCCTTCAGACCGTCCATCCCAGACAGTTCTGTGCTGGTAAACGTGTAACAATCCCTGATACATTCCCACTGTCAGCGGAGGGGTGTTGGGAAGAGGTATGTGCGATCAGCTCTAACGCCACAGGAGCCACAGGCCCCAGGGCCCTGGGATTTAGGTGCTGGAGACACCAGCGGGTTCCCACACACCGTTAGCTTATAGAACTCCCTACTTGTAGCCATCATGGCCTCTGCTCCCAAGGGTCTGTCAAGTAACATCTGAATGAGCCCTCTCTGCCTTCTGTAGCTCTGAATTAGTGCCCGGATATTGTGGTGGTGGACAAAAAGGCCAGGCACAGCCCCTTGCTAGGCTCAGCTTTTGAAAGGATAATGGGCTGGAAATTCATACCCCGATTGTTAAAAATACGTAAGTACTGACAAAGCAGTTTCAATAAAAGTGAGTCTGGGAGGCAGACAAAGAAGAAGAAGGTAAATTAAAAAAGAGCTATTCCTATACCCTCCAGAATTTAGGTGGCTACCCAAACTATGCCTTGAAAGAGGCATGTTAGTTATAAGTGGAGAACCTAAGTTATAGTGGAGAGCCATGTTCTAAAAGTAACAACGGACCGTCAGCCCGAAAATGGACAACTTTCAATTTGAAGGAGTAAAGGGGAGATGGATGAAGTGAGGCTAATCAGGAAGACCTTCTGGAGAACAGAGCTTCTAAGGTTTGTTCCTAACAAACAGCAAATGACCTCAACTGCTTCTGTTTTGATAGGATTTGGCCCTGGAGGAGGCCGTTCTGGAGGAGCTGACCCAGAAGGTAGCCCAAGAACACAAAGCCCACAGGTAGGCCCATAGGCATGGCGCTCCCCCACCCCATCGACTGTGCTCTATCCTACTGGCTTATTCAGCCCCCTGTTCCCAGACGCGCAAATAGATTCATAACCTGTGTGCTTGCCCTGCCTCCCCTTTTTCCTGTTCTTTTTTTTTTTTTTTTCTTTCTCTCCCTTTCTTTTTTCCTTTTCTTCTTTCCGCACCAGCAAGCCCACATAGATGTGAAGCTGTTAGCCAGGAGAACTCTTCTCTCTGACCTTCTGAAAACTGTTGCCAGAGCTGGGGAGACTGGGGCTGCTTGAGTTAAGAGTGAAGACCTAAAAGATCTGCTTTGGATGGGAAAGTCAAGGTCAAGAGGGAGAGGAGGCCCTGAAAACTTCTTATCAGGGCTACGTGGAGCTCTCTGGGACCAGTGGAAAACGAGCAGCCTTCCTTCCGACTTCAGAGGACCTGTGCAGTGGTCCTAAGCTCTCTCTCGTTTTGGCCACTTGGCTCCCAAAATAGCATCCTCATAAACTTTTTCCTTGTTTCTTAACAGTGGAGATTTTTTTTCCTAGGTGGGAGAAAATAACTTTTTTTTTTTTTTTTAAAGCAAGCAGCATTATTCACAGGGATGTCTGGAATAATTAGTGTTTATAGGGCTGTGGCTCTTAATTAAATACTTTACCTTCCTCTGATTCTTCCCCGTTGAGTAAAGGCTGGTAGGGAATATGTTAATGAATTACTTAGTAACGTACCGCGTCCTCACAGTTGGGTGATGATTGCTCTTCCCAGAACTGGAGCTAAACCACAGCTCTGGAATTTGCCATCAGGAGGGTCGGATCTTCCACTGCCTTTGTTGCTCTTAACCATTTCCTTCTTTGACACTGTTTCGGTTTTAGTGGAATCCTGCCCTCAGAAGCCGAGCTCATGTACATCAACGAGGTGGAACGTTTGGATGGATTTGGACAGGAGATCTTCCCTGTGAAGGTAACATACCCTGGCCTGTCCTCACTTCAGCTTTCTCAGAATGGCTCAGGTGGTTGGAAAACTAGTGATAGGCAACCGACCAGAGCGACCTGGCTTCCTTATCGCTACGTGGCATTAGATGGCGAGTCCTGCTTACTTTAGGTAAAGCAAACACTTCTTAACTAAGAGACTTTGAAGTTTTCCATGGTCTTGGGCAGAATATCTTGTTTGTAAGGCAACCGTCTGAGTGAGTACCAGACAAACACCAGCCCATCCACCGGCCCTGGGAAGGTATGCGGTCACGTCCAGTTCTGCAACAGGAAAGCAGCTATTAATATGAAGACCCTACCTACCCAGTAGTTTTCTTTATTCGCTTCTTCTCTCCTCTCTTTGAGCTGATACGGGGATCATCGCTTGTGAGGCAGAGTGAAACCTTTCCTGTATGCAAGCACACTTTCTTTCTCGAGTTCTATAGAGCCTCCATTGTGGGTTTCCAGCCCCTTAGGTGTTTTCTGGAAACCGTGCCTGGGAAACTGTTACAGCACATCACATCCTTTGCAACAGATCCACCTCCTGAAGTGGGTGTGGTTGGGGAGGGGGGTCACGGTGCATGGTCATTTATAGAGTTGGGCCCGTACTCCAAACTCATTTTCTTCTCTCTACTGACCCACTCTGCGAAAGACGGAGTTTTGTCAGAAACCTAAAGCAACTGGCACATTTCTGCAATTTGGGAGATGGTGCAATTTTAGCACAAACATTTCATTCTAAACTGGCTCCGCTGGCTGTTTTATAAGTGTTCTGTTCCTCCTCTGCTGCACGCTTGCAATTTGCCTTAATGAGAACTGCCCATGTGCATCAAGTAGAACGAGCAGGGTGGCCGCAGCTTGTGGAAAGGGCTAAATGGCTCTTTTTTAGATTTGTTTAATTTTCTTTTGCTTCTCTAATGGCCACCCTTCGTAGGGTTGTAATCCATTTTCCTTGCAATAATGCCTTATGAAGCCATCTGCATCCCACTTACATTTCAGCAGCCCATATATAGTCATGATATTCTGGGCCATTGAAAAACCAGGGTAAACTTCTCTCCACTTCCAGAAAACTGACTTCTCAGTCCCAGGAAGTCGGGGGTTTCGTTGTGCTCATTTACTCGTGTTGTTTTTGGTCATTCTGGGCTGTGGGAAACAAGAGCAGTGGAGATAGTGTTGAAATCCACTGTGCCCGTTCCCCGATGCACTTTCTGGTATGTTCTTTTGTGGGAAGAGCACAAGGCAGGTACTGTCTACCTTGGTCCGAGTGGGCAGACAGGCACTGCTGACTCACTGCCTGTGCGTGTGACTTAGCTGGGTGTCTTCTGTTTCCCCACGTGTCTGTTCATGACTAAGGTGGCCACCTACCGACCACCTGACATCCCCGGAGACAAGGATGATGGGAGGGGCAGCAGGACCGGTGGGGCGGTGCCGTGATCAGCTCTGAGATAGGTGAAAAGGCAGGAAGGAGAGTGTGCAGGGGCAGACTGAGTAGTGATGGAGCCCCAAGTAACGTACATGGGCTTGCTATGGATACGTTTTAGGGAAGAACATTTCTACGTAGCGTGGGCTTTTCCACGAGCGATTCTTCAAAGTTTCTCAAGGCCGGAGGAGTACCAGTCCACTTCCTGACAGGTCCGCCCCTCCCGCCTCCACACACACAGGCGGGCCGCTGCCTCGGTGGCTCCCTGCGTTGTCAGAGCACCGGGACACAGAGAGGGTGCTTGTGTCTGGAGCCTCGATCCTTAGCCGAGTGGGACACCAAGCCCCTAAGGTTTGACAGATGCAGCGTCTGGGCCTCGGTCCTATGTTTTCTCCATTGCTCGGCCCTGGTGAACTGCTCCTGCCGCGCCCCCACCCCGACTGGCCCGCTGCACCAATGGACCTACTGGCAGAGTGCCCCGGGAAGGCTCTCTCTGCAGGATTTTCTTTCTGCTTCGCCTCTCCACTTCTCCCGACTTCTTTTCTCACAAGTGTTTTTCTGCATGTCACCTACCTTGTAACTGCTCCTGACAACCGAGGCACTTCCTTTCCTTCCCTCTCCACCCTCTCCCAACCCTGTCTCTGCTTTGCATCCAGCCGTTGTCTTGACCTCGCTCTGTCCCTGTTAGAAGAGCCCTGTTCTAATGTGCGCTTTGCCGGGCGAGCTGGAGAGACATCCCTGTGATGGGGCACTGTTGTCTGTGTGTCTTACACGGGATCAAGGGTTCTGAGGAATGCAGACATCCTTCTCTTCCATCCCGTGTCTAGTCATGCGCGCCTCTCTGCTCCCTCCACAAAGAAGGTATCCCCCAGGGAAAGCAGGGGGCTGTGACAGTTTATTCCCCGGATGGTGAGCCTTGTTCCTGCTCTGCTCCCAAGCACGCCGGCAGCAGGTTGGGCTCTCCCAGACAGGAGGCTGGAAGCATCTGACCGGACCAGGAGACCAGACTTGAAGATAAGTCATCCGGGCTTCCTCAGCACAGGGCCCAGCAGATTTCCCGACAGCTCTGTAGTCCTCGTGCCCCTCCTGTGCTCACGAAGCTCCCAGCCAGCACTTAGCGTCCCTCTCTGGAACATGAATATGTGGCCCAGCATCACCCCACAGGGTGTCCTTACAGGAATGACAGAGGCCAACACAAAGAAAACAAAGCGGCCTGGAAGACGTAGAGACTCTGCCGGGTGAAGAACTCCCCGCCCAAAATACCATACTATGAGTCTCCACTATATTACATCTTTCAAGGAATAGATTGCTTTTAAAAGAGAATGTTCAGAAAATAATTTAAAAAAAAGAAAAAAAAGAAAGGAAAGAAAAACTCTCAGAAATTAAAAATGTGATATCAGAAATGGAAAATGTAATAGCTTGCAAGACAAAATTAAGAAAATCTCACCAAAAAGTGAAGTTTGGAACGTGGGAGGTGGGAGATAAAATTAGAAGGCCAGCCCAGGATGTCCAACGTTGGAATAATGGGAGTTCCAGAAGTGAACAGAGGAAACAAAGCTAGTAATTCGAGAAAGTATCCCAGGACTGAGGGGCATGAGGCTCTAAATTGAAACACCAAGCACAGTGGATGCAAATAGACACACACTAGGGCATTAGGCAGGGGAAGTTGATGTCTGTAGGGAGAGGAAATGGTGGGAACAAGTCTGCTGTTGGCTTCTTCTAAAGAGGTTGCAAACAATGTGCTCATTTCTTCAAACTGCGGGCTTATATAATCACACGTGTAGAAACACATACGTAATCAAACTACACACACGTATAATTTTGATTTAGAAAAAACGTAAAAAAGATACTAATAGACGCTCGTGAAAGATGAGATCTTAAGTGCCCCCAAATCTGAGACAATCCTAAAAATCTCTCTTGGACAGGCAACATGTGGTGACAAATTCAGATAAAAGATGCATGTATATGTATATAGTCCACTAGGCTGTGCAGCGGCGTGAGTTCCTTCAGGACCAAGTTGCCTTTCGTCCGGATGCTGTCTGTGATTCTTTCATTTATGGGCAGGAAACGGGGTGTGGCCCCCCCGGGTGGGCTGCGGCCCACATGCTCAGTTCTGCCAGGTCGCCGGTGATCTGTTTCATCACGCTGCTCTTCTGTTGATCTTACGCAGGACAATCATGGAAACAGTGTGCAGCTGGGCATTTTCTTTATGGGCATTTTCGTGAGAAACAGAATTGGAAGACAAGCAGTGATACACAGGTAGTCTTCTTCATATCTTTTTCCTTTTTTCTTTTTCCCCTGGAGGGACTCTCGAAAACCCTGCTCAGTAGGACAGGTATCCCAGCGAGTTGAGAGCCAGATGGTGGGTCACCATTGAGCTTTTCTCAATTCAGAGAAGATCAGCCCTCTGTGCGATTCGAGCGCTAATGGAGAAATGCATCTCACTTCTCCTGGAGGCCCGTTTGGGGGTGGGGACTCTCACCTGAGTCCAGGAAAGGTGCCCTGGAGCCAGAGACCTGGAGCTAAACTCTGTGAGTCTGGTTGGAAGCAGGCCGTCCAGTCAGTCCTTCAGTCCAGAGTGGCTTCTTCCCATTTTCCATCACCCTCCGCCTAACCATATGTGCTAGAAGAGTGAGGACTGATTTTTATATTAAAAATGTAATGTATTTATGAAAGTGCATTTTGAAAAACATTGAATTTGTTATCATGAATTAAAGGGATTTGGTACTTTTTCATCATTTTGCATTTTAGAATTCTTTTTCTAATGCTTATTTATTTTAGAGAGAGTGCAAGCAGGGAAGGGGCAGAGAGAGAGGGAGACACAGAATCCAAAGGCGGCTCCAGGCTCTGAGCTGTCAGTGCAGAGCCCGACATGGGGCTCAAACTCATGAACCGCTACATCATGACCTGAGCCGAAGTTGGATGCTCACCGACTGAGCCACCTAGGCACCTCTCATTATTTTGCATTTTAAGCCCTCTTCTCCGTTTAACGTGAGAGACCAGTGTCTCCTCGGGTCACGTGTCCGGGAGCTTGCTCGTGTTGGCATCCGTAGTTGCTACCGTAGTGTCAGTGATCTCAAAAGCTGCATCCTTGCTTTCATTTACAAGGGCAGTGTGGCCAGTTATTTACTGGAAGACGAGCTTTCTTGTACATGCATCTGGTAGGCATAGCTGTGCACCTAGGCCAGATCATCAAAGACAGCTCTTAGAGTCAAAGCAAAGTCCACCTTCTGGGCGTGGATCTTGCCCAGCTGTGTACTCTCTGGATCAGCAGTTGATCTGGGTCATTTTGCAAGTATTTTCCCACCAAAAGCTTCCTAATTGGCTTCCCCCCAAACCCTGCCCCCCTCTGCCACTAGGTCCCCACCCTGCCATTATTTTTGTTCATTTATTTTTTTCTTGCTCTGTCAAAGGGGACATTATTGAAACAGGAGTAGGGGGAAGATCTTGGTGGCTGAAGAATAAACTTTTTGACTTTTGGACATATTCAGTCAACTCCATACACGTACAATAAGTTACAAATGGGTCAAGCAAAATGCATAAATTAGGCAGCGATATAACTATGAATTTTTATGCCCATTTAAAGCTGTTCGGGCATTTTGTCCCACACAGTTCTTCATAGCTGAATCAATGCTTCATTTTCTCCTTGAGCCTGGAGAAGTAGACAAGTCTTACGTTTCAGTTGTGGAGGTTAAATAGAAGAAAATAGCAGTTTGAAACTCTGCTGATGGTAAGCCACTCATAGGCTTGGTTCGGTTCCTTAGGAACTGCTTCCGGACTTCTTCCTCCAGTCCTTATCTCGAAAGCCCTATAGGCTGGGAATTTGCTTCTGCCATGGTCTGCCGTGGTGTCATGGTAATGATGCCCCTAGGGGAAGTCGCATGGTGGAGGAGGAGTGGATCCAGAGTTTTGGCAGTCGGTTTGAAGGAATGGAGCCTGAGGAAACCAAATATCTCTTATCTCTAGAGACCTTCATTGAGGAGCCTGTAGCTCTGGGTCGTGTAGATGTAATCTCTTGGAATTGTAAGTCAACCGACAGCTCTACTGATCACCTGTAGAGAGTATGGCCCCAGCAGATATACATAAACACAGTTGGTCCTGGAATAATGGAAAGGTGACTGGAGGAATGCCCGTAAGCCCCAGTATGGAACTCGTGCATCCCCAGTGAGCAGAGTGAACGTGGCCAAGTCCTGTACTCGTTTGTGCCTCAATTGTCTCATCTCTAAAGGAGGAACAAAACTAGCTGCCTTGTCGACCTTAGAGAGTCGATAAAGGAACCGTACTCTATACAGATGGGAGGCAATATTACTACTTTTAATTCTCTCAGCCAACATCCATTGCATGTTGAATGCCGGGTGCTTGGCTCCGTGCTTGGAATACAGACACGAAGACAGCAGAATCTCTAGGCATGGCGTCTTTGGGCTAGTCTGGCTTCGTTTGGGATCTAGTCACAGAGGTCAACAGTTGTAATACCACGTGGTGACTGATAGGGGACTATACGCATGCGTGTTGTCAGGACGAGAAAGAGAGAAGGTGACTTCTGAGCTAAGTCTTGAAGGAATCATCTAGGCAGAGGATAGGGCAGTGAAGGTTGGCATGAAGAGGGAATTGTAGATCGGGGCACAGAGTGAAGGTAGACAGTAGTAAGAGGCGGCTACAAACTGACTCCAGGCAGAATGGGAAACTACAGCTTACCTTCCCAGGCACTTTCTCTTGGTGGCATAATCAATCTGTAGCCTACGCTGCAACACAGAATCTATGTGGATTCTTTGGCCTAGATTCCTGAAAACACGTGACTTTGAAATAATATGCTCCTCCATATGCTTTGCAGTTTGGAAATGTGAAAAACAAGGCAGACGTTCCTTGAACGTTTTCCTCATAACTAGTCATGAAGGAAAGTACACCTTATGAACAGCAGTATCCAGATTTACGTTATACGGTTTCCTTAGCTATTTAAGTTTGACCCGGGGTGTTTTCTTTACTTTTTTGCTTGGAGAGAAGGCACATTTAGCTTTTAAAACTATAGTTAAATCGTAATTTGTAAAATGAGACGCACCAGCAGTGATGACCCTCCTGTGCTGACTCATAACTGCATGGAACCTGCCTGGCAAACCCAGTTGTTTTTCTTGTGACCAGGTGGAATGACATCGGGAATATCACACACAACAAGTCGACTATTCTGGTGGAGCTCATCAACAAAGAAGAGACGGCCCTCTTTCACACGGTAAGCAAAATGGAAAGATGGGGGCAGGGTCCGACAGCTTGCCGTGTGACCTCTCAACTCACCACATCCCTTCTTTGCTCTCTGCGTCGTGAGAGAATAAATGTTCTACTGAACCCGTAACCGTCCACCTCTCGCCCAGTGCTGTCATTACTCATTTCTGGGTAGTGGTGGTGATTTCCCGTTCAGAACGCCAGGTTTCCAAGCCGAGTTTGGACTCGGGGATTTCGGTTCCTCCACCTGCTGTGTTTGGGGTGGATCCCATTGTCTGGCGTGCTGCGTTCCTCCATCTCCTTGCAACCCTCCAGCCCCGGAATTATATTGCTTGGCATTTTTAGCACTCCTAAGCAGGACACAAGTTTTCTCCCCCCAAGCCTAATCTGAAGTAACCTGAGTGATCTTCCTTCTGTTGAGGGCCCCCTTGAGAGCCAGGGCTGTCCGTGCACCTCGCTGCCTCTCAGTGATGCTTGGTGTTCATTCCGTGCTCTGTCTTGATCCTTATTTATTTTTAAAGCATCTGGTTTGGAATTGTGTGAAGATATGCCAGCCCATGGTGTAAGCCCAGTGCCCTGAGTATGGAAGATTCTTTAACAGATTGTCTGCCATCCTTGGGTGGGCTTCCTGGCCCAGCTTGCTGCAGAATTTCAGCACACCGGTTTGCTGCTCGGGGGGGCTATTTTGTGTGTGGCCCGACGATACGAAGGAATGTGGCCCTGTTCGGGAGAATCCTAGGGAGATGCGTTTATAATCAAATACATTTTATTTGTTTTTATTTGTTTTTTTTCTCTGCCTCTTCTTTTCCAAGGACGATCTTGAAAATGCCAAGTATATCTCTCGGTTGTTTGCTACGCGGCACAAGTTTTACAAACAAAACAAAATCTGCACTGAGTAAGTAAGCCGTCTGTCCACCTTCTCACTGGAAGGCCTGGTCAGATTAAATCCACGTGCTTTAGGGATGTCGTAGATGGCGTCTGCCATTCGCTCTTTTTCCTCCTTCCTCGTGGAAGCCGACCAGGCAGGAGGGAAAGAACTTTAATGACGAAGGCCGTCTGGCACAGCGCGTGCGCCTGGAGAGAAAATAACTCACAAATTGACTGTGAGTGCTTGACTACCTGGACGGGTTGGCCCACATTAGTGCCTTTCTGTCCTCTGTGAGGAGTTCGGAGGAGCTGAGCGGTTCCCAATTTGCCAGGGTGCCCCTTCGTGTCAGATGCGGGGTATGTTCAGAAGTGTGTCACGGAGTAGCAAGCCAACTTGAAAGAAAAGAAGGTTCTGTCATCCTCAGCCCTGTTTCTCTTACACAGTTGGCTAACCCCGCGTGTGCTTCTGGGTCATGTCATCTGCCTGTAAATGAGAGGCCAGGGTAATTAGAGGAAGACTTGGAATACACTAATAGACGTCACGAATCCATGTGTGTTTTTTCAATTTAATTTGGAAATAAAGATGATAAAGGGAGTCTGATATGGGAACTTAAATGTGACCTGACCTTGGATGTAGAGTAGCTGGGGCTCACGCTATCATTGCCTTTATTTTGGTTGCCTTCAAAAGATGTTCCTCAGCAGAGGACGTTCGGCAGTTGGGGCGCCCTAGGTGCTTAATTGTGTTTCAAAGAATTCGGGGATATAAATGCAAGAGAGGAACTGCTTTTCCATTCCCCCAGTGGACACATCCAAGAGTGTGAGAGTATTGTCCCAGAGCAGTTCCTGCTGAAAATTGCAGCTGCTTTAGAACTGGAGCCTCAGGTCCTGACAGACTTTCTTCTCTACACGATGGAGGCTCTTTTAAACCGGTCTTTGCAATTGGTCACTGTCGGAGTCTGAAAGGATCGTTGATGGTATCAGGTCCGCCAGCAAAGTTTGCAAATGTAAATCGGAAGGGCAGTGATCAGGGAGCGGCAAGTCAAACAGCCATCACTGTACGGGCACGCGCACGCACACGCACGTGGCGTTCTTTTGAACAGACTCCCCGTAGATCACTTCTGTGCACTTCTGCGCTGCGGCGGCCTTTGATCTGCGGGGGGGTCTTTGACATTAACACGAACTCTATGGTCGGCTTCTGGAGGGCGAATTAAAATCTGACTGTTCTAAGCAGTGAATTTCACTGTGGTCTTCTGGTTGGACCATTTCTCAGCAAGGGAGTTTACTGTAAAATTTGCAGAGTATTTTGATTTCTTTGGCGCTCTCCGAATACTAGTGCACATCCCACGTTAGCCTGAAAACTGAGGAAATGGTGTTTTCCTTTCTACTTCTGTAATAACCATTCTTTTCTCCTCACCAGGTAGAGGAGGTTCCTAACCTCTTATTTGGACTCTCTAAGATGTACACACACACACACACACACACACACACACACACACACTCCATACACACAGCAAATTCTGTGTATAGTTTCAGGATCTCAGCACAGACTGCATTAAGGCCTGGGATAAACCCCCTGTAGTTTTAGGAAACTAGCATTATCTTAACAGCATCTTTCTCCAGAGGTCTGCACACCCTGACTGCTAAAAGACTATCATTGATTTTCATTTCATTTCATAGAGCTCCAAAGAGTGCTTCCCATATTTCTTGACTTGAGAAGAGAAATTGCAGGGAGTGGGAAGGGTGTTTAACCTAAGTCTAATAATACTATATTTGGCCAGTTGTTAAAAAAAAAAAAAAAGTGCAACGTTACTGTTTCCACACCTCATGAAAGAAAGAAAAGGTGTTTTATCACTAAAAAGGTAGGAAAGATGAACTATCAGACAAAGGAGAATGCTTTAAATTGAAGAATTCTAGCTTGATGGAAAATTCTACGTGTCCTGGGTTTTTTGTTTGTTTTTGTCTATGTATGAGTTCACTGAAGACTAGGGAAAACGTCAGTCTGGACTTTGAGACCCATTTCTCAAAGACACCTTTGATTTCAGTACTCAAGAATTTCTTTTTTTTTTTTCAACGTTTATTTATTTTTGGGACGGAGAGAGACAGAGCATGAACGGGGGAGGGGCAGAGAGAGAGGGAGACACAGAATCGGAAACAGGCTCCAGGCTCTGAGCCATCAGCCCAGAGCCTGACGCGGGGCTCGAATTCACGGACCGCGAGATCGTGACCTGGCTGAAGTCGGACGCTTAACCGACTGCGCCACCCAGGCGCCCCAGTACTCAAGAATTTCTTAATACTCTTAGCTCCCACACATTTTTATCCCTACATTAAAAAAAATTCACGTTGATTCTCAGTCTGGAAAGGATCTGATTAGATTACTACTTATAATCAGTATTATCTTAATTCAAAAAGATCTTTGTATGGTCTTACTCAAACATATTTAATCTGTTTTGGATTCCATTTGACTGGCAGCATTTAAAAAATATTTTTTCTTCTTGCTGTTTTTCTTTATGAAAGATTTTACACATAGACAAAGATACAAAGAATACAATTTTTAAAAAAACCCATGTAATAATAGTGATATTTTTCAGTCTTGCTTATTTCCCTCATAATATTTTTTGGAAGTAAGCCTCATTCTTCTGTAAAATTTAATATCTAAGGATCATGTGCTCTGAACATTTTGAAAATAAGAGAATAAAAAAGGAAATCAACATTTTTCATAGCCTCTCCATTCAGAAATAAATGTTTACATTTTGCCATAAATTATTTAGCTCTCTGTCTCTTTTTTTTTTTAATGTTTATTTATTTTTCAGACAGAGAGAGACACAGCATGAACGGGGGAGGGTCAGGGAGAGAGGGAGACACAGAATCTGAAGCAGGCTCCAGGCTCTGAGCTGTCAACACAGAGCCCGACGCGAGGTTCGAACTCACGGACCATGAGATCATGACCTGAGCCAAAGTCCAACGCTCAACCACCTGAGCCACCCAGGCGCACCTTATTATTTAGCTCTCTTGTCTGTTCCCCCCCCCCCCCCCCCCCCATCCCGCCTTTTCCCCCTCTCTTGTTGGTCCGTCTGATAAATAAAATGACTCTTCTCATTTCTTTAACTTTTCCTGTAGACAATCAAATTCTCCACCCCCCATCAGACGCCAACCCACCTGGAGCCGATCCTCTCTGGTATGTATAAAGTCTTCAGTAATCAAATGGTCTGACTGTTGGGGATGGAATGTCCTTTTGTTGCTCAATTGAAAGGAAACATGACTAGGGCATCATGACCAGGTGAGATCTTATGAAAACATAGAAGAGCATCAGTCAGCCAAGCAGGTGTCATGAATATTCATGTCCCATTTGTGCCCCATCACGTGGGACAGCCATGTGCCCATCCACAGCCATCACTTCTTGAAGTATGGCTCAAGGTTCACCCCCGAAGAATAAGTCTTAAGGTTGATGAGACCGTGTTTCTTCAGCATGTGACCTATGGTGTGTGTTTTTGTCCATTTGCTCATCTGTGATTTTATCACTGTTTCTGGTTGTTACATACACATGTCTTTAGTTATAAGCTCTACAAATTCTTTTGTATTTGCCACCATAGATAGATCTTAATAAACTAGTCAGAAAATGCTTTTTGAATGAACCCAAATTGAACGAGTTTAGTCGGTGGTTTCAAGTTAGGGTATTTGATGGGGAAGATTAATTATATATCTTCTAATTTTAAGACCAACAAAATCGATTTACTGAATTGATCTACTTTTCTATCTAATCTAACGTTAGCTTTTTTCATTTTTTAAAAAATTTCTCCTCTTGGGGCGCCTGGGTGGCTCAGTTGGTTAAGCGTCCGACTTCAGCTCAGGTCATGATCTCACAGTCCGTGAGTTCAAGCCCCACGTTGGGCTCTGTGCTGACAGCTCGGAGCCTGGATCCTGCTTCAGATTCTTTGTCTCCCTCCCTCTCTGCCCCTCCCCTGCTCATGCTGTGTCTCCCTCTGTCTCAAAAATAAATAAAAACATTAAACAAAAAATTTCTCCTCTTCTGAATAAGGAAACACAACTCTAATTTCAATACATCTGTTCTTAGGCTGTGTTTTATTTTGAGGACTACTTTAGGATAATATCATAGAAAGATGCAGAAAAGTGACCTTTAAACATGTGACCTTTAAAATTTTCTAGGTGACCATTTCCTTCGAGTTGATAGGAGAATAAAATTGAATTTTTCCTCATACACAGTGTATACCCTATAGCACATCTTTAACTTGTCTTTCCAAAGGAGAGTTTTGAGGAATTTTTTTTTTTTGTCTGGAAAATGCATAGACAATGAACTCTTAGAATTCTAGAGTTGAGCCATTATGTCATCACATTCCTGAGTACCCAACGTGAATATTATTAATCTCGATGTCATGCATAGTATCTCACAAGTGGCCCTTGCCTTGGAGGTCCAGAGGGTCACTTTGGGCTTTTCCCTTGTGGCATTGATAGATTTGTTTATGGCACTGGTTTCTTTATACTTCTCCTTTGTGAATATTATTTTTTTTTTAGACTCCACATGTCTTCATTAGGGAGATGATTTTTCATTTATGTCCATGAAACACCATGGAGGCCAAGAATTTAAAGCTGTCTTGTGATTTGATCTCATCCTAATTATCTGGAGAAGATAAAGAGGTTTTCGTATTTTATCAGGGTGAAGACAATCTGCAGGAAGCCAAGTTCAAGGCTCCTCCCTTTCTTCTACCCTTCAGGGCAAAACCATATTACCAGGAGTTCCCTGGGATGAGTGATATTGTCTCTTTTTGGCTTCCTTGCTGAGAACCAGGACTGCTATTTTTCTCTTGCCCTTCTGCTGCCTATATTATGGCATCTCACTTGTTTCTATATTAGCAGGTCTGGAAAGATAGAATAATATGCACTATATATAACATAACACAATATTATATATATAATACAAAGAGATGGAATAAATAATATCCCGAAATGGTATTTGGAGGATTAGCTGTTATTATCCTTTGCTGTACACTTATGCCAATTCATAAACAGTCACTTGCTTATTAGATTTTTTTTTAATTCCAAAAAATTGGATTTTTAAGAGCAAGAGAAGGCAGTGAGCCAACTTTACCTTACTATGCATTTCTATTACCTCACGTGAATCCCTTCCCACTGTTTTTGTTTGTTTGTTTTAAGCCTCAAAACTGGCTGTCCTACGCTGGAAAAATTGAGTTGAATTACGTACCACCAAGAAGAGGAAAATATTTTAAAATTGCAATTCATAAACCAGCCAAAGGCGGGGGGTGGGGGGGGAGAAACAGCCAAAGGGAATATTGAGAAAAGCTGATACAGCACCTTCTTTTTGGTACCATGAACTCCTTTCTTAGATTAATTTCAATTCCTTATTTCTTCTTTCTTGACTTTTTTATTTTTGGATCCCTTACCTTTATTACCTTCTTTACGTGCCCTTTTGATGCTTAAGCATTATTTGTGGCAGGCAAAATGGCAGATGAGTTATTTGCCCAGCTTCAGATTATGGCAAGTGTTCTTCCAGTATTGAGGGATACTGAGAAAGTGTGACCCCTGCTGGCTTTGGGTTTTTTTGGCTTGATCTCAGCCGTTCTCCTAAAGCAGTAATATTTAAACCAGTATCTATGAGAGTAATTTCAAAATAATCGAATATATCCTGTTTGGTGGTTTACAGGCTTAAAGTTTTTTAAAGATTTTTGTTTTTTCGAGTCAAAACTTTTTCTTCAAAGAAGCTGTCACTGGGGATCCCAATATCTAAATAACATAAATATTGTTGGTGATAAGGGGAGGGAAGAGGTGTGGTTTGATTGGCTAGAAGCTGAGATGTACTGAGGCTCGGTGATTTGCTGTAGATCACGTTAGCAACTAATCATATTTCCTTTGTCGGCTCACCAAATATTGAGCTGATCTAAACTTTTTTTTTTTTCTTCTGAAAGTTTTATTCTTGTCTGCACCAGGAAGTTGTTCAGGTTGGGTCTAAATAACCATCTTTAAGGAGTCTCTTGGAAAAGATTTTTCACTGCAGAGTAGATGGTTGAACTAGATTCGCTGCAAGACCTGTCCACAGTGGGTTCTGCAACGGGGGGTCCATAAGTGGTCTTGAGAACCACACACATACTGTCGCGGGTCACCATTCAGATTTTTATATAAATTTGCAACCGAACCCAGCTTAACACCACCCCCGTCCCTATTGGAGGTTGACATGGTGCTGTAAACTAAGGGTCATAGGTGCAGACAATTTTGGTTAGAATGAAACCGAGTTTCCCCTTATTGTCATTATTCTTTAGGTCGAATATAATAAATCTACATGTTCTGAATTACTCCTTTTAAAAGGGCATTGGGAGTTTTGCAAGCATATCAGGAAATAGACTAAATGTTAATTACAGCTTCCTTACCTTTCTCACCTTGAACCAGCTGCCTTATTTCCCTCTGTTTCTCCAGTCCTAGACTTAATGATGAGATGGGGGTACAGATGAGTCAAAGAGGGACGAGTCAAGGGTGGACCAGCAGAGAGGCCACAGTGTGCTTTCCTGCAGACGTGGGTGAATGATGGGCTGTCGTGTGCTTGGGCTGGTGCCCCGTGAGATTCCACGGCCATTTGTGCCACGGCCTTCCCACCTGTGCTGTCTTTTCTGTTTCAGCCCCGACAGCAGCCGTACATCTTGCCTCCCATGCACGTCCAGTGTGGTGAACACTACTCGGAAACACACACTTCGCAAGGTAAACCGTGACTTGTCATTTTCCCTTCTTGAGACGAAAAGTCGAGTACCTGTCAGCGGTGAAGAAGTTTTTTTTTTTATTTCTTAGATGACAGTGATACTTTTGTTTTAACTTTGTCATTGTCTGAATGGCAGCGGGCGGCGGCTTCGATTTGTGAAAGGCATAGCGTGTCACTTGCCCCCGAGAGGAAAACTTTCCCAGAATTGGCTGCCGAGGGAGTTGGGAGAAGGCAGTGAGCGAGTTCCTTGTCTCCTTCCTCTGATGAGTGGGCTTGGAGAAGAGAGAGGGACAGTAAGCCCCACGGAATGCTCTTCACCCTCGTGACCCGTATCGAGCACACAGAGCACACAGGCGTCCAGCTTACTTAAAAGAAAGGCACAAATAATCTCCACTCCTCTCTTTAACTGCTGCCTGCCATCTCTCCAGACACCTGTTTTTGCCTCAGAGCAAATGGAATCTGTTTTTTATTCTTTTTCTCCCCAAACACTCCCATGCCAAACGTGTGAGAAAATCCGTCCTAAGAATAAAGGTTCTAATAATAACAATTACCATTTATAGAGCAGTTCCTCTCCCTAAGCACCGTGCTAAGCCCTTGCAACGCATTGTTTCATTTAATCCTCAAAATAAACCCACACGATAGGTACTATTACTAGTGCCATTTATAGAAAAAGAAAGTGGGGCGCAAAAAGGGTATGGGAGGAGCTTTGAGGTGAAAAATGACTCTTGAGCCAGTGCCCTCTCTGTCATTACACTAACTGCATCTCAGAAAAGGAATGTTACTAAACTTGGGTGTCGGTAGTATGTTGAACGGATAATGCGTTTCTGTGTCACCATAGGCTGGCTATTTTGAACCTCTGTCCTGTCAGTGTGTGAGTGTGGAAACTATAAGATAGTCAAGACTCTTTAATCAAATACTCCTTTTTATAAGCAGACGAGCAAAGTTACCCTGCTTCTGTGGGAAAGCCCCAGAGCCCATAGAGATGGAGAAGTGGCACACCTTTGTTCCTGGGTTTTGCTGGTTTTTCTTGTCCATCTGAGCTCATCTGGTCTGTGAGCACACTCCTCCTCAGGCAACTGAGCATTTTCAGTCACCTTTTCTGGTTGGTGGTTTTTGGTTTTATTTTTTGCCTTTCTGCCTGTCCTCCTCTCCTTTGCTCATGCTTAAATCCAGAGTGTGAAAATGATGAACTTTGCTCATCAGAAAGTGTTTGGGCAAGAGGTTGCCTTCCTAGGGTGTGTGTGTGTGTGTGTGTGTGTGTGTGTGTGTGCGTGTACGTGTATGTGTGTGTTAAAGAAACCACGGACACCTAGTATGGGCCTGACTTTAGCCATCTACGTTTTACCTCTTTAGGAGCCTCCCTAAACCACTATTAATTTTAATGTCAGGTGACCTCAGTGATGAAGCCAATTCTAGGAGAGTTGTAGGCAGTGGCCAGAAGAACTCCTGGTTCTGATTTTGCCCTCCATCGGTTGCTGATCAGAACCAACTAGCCATGCGTGCTGACACCTTGACTGCATCCTTTGTCTTGTGTCTTTACGAACACTCAGGAGTTCCTCGGGGAAGGGGACCTTTTCCATTGCTGTCTGGAACATAAGCTCCAGGTATCGGTAACTTCAAATGCATCATCCTGTTAAAGCTCTTGACTTCCTGGCCCAAATAGCCGGTCCCGTTGCTGGGCCCTGGACAAGAAGGCAGGTTTACCCAACATGAGGGCCATTGTTGGTGCCTGATTTCAGAGCTCATGGCAAAATGGAGAACTTCCCCAGGTGATAACTATTCCAAACGTGCCTAGCTTTCTTTGATTGCATTCACTTTCTCTTTTTAGTATGCTTTCAAGTGTTCTTTCTGTATGTTGGTGTCTCACCCGAGAGTTATTAGTTTTTCCATGGAATACGTGGGTGGAGACCACAGGATTTCACTTTTAATGACCTCTGAAAGTCACGCCCAGGAGTGTGAGGATGAACTTAGTTGAAGCAGGGTGATGTGGACGTTCACGGGCCTTTGTTTGATTTCTTATAGACAGCATCTTCCATGGGAATGAAGAAGCCTTGTACTGCAATTCCCACAACAGCCTGGACTTAAATTATTTAAATGGCACCGTCACCAATGGCAGTGTGTGCAGCGTTCACAGCATCAACTCCCTCAACTGCTCCCAGAGTTTCATCCAGGCTTCTCCTGTGTCCTCCAACCTCAGTATCCCCGGGAGTGACATCATGCGGGCCGACTACATCCCTAGCCACCGGCATAGCGCCATCATTGTGCCATCCTACCGGCCGACCCCCGATTATGAGACGGTCATGCGGCAGATGAAGAGGGGGACCGTGCACGCCGACAGCCAGAGCCAGTCTCTGCGGAACCTCAGCATCATCAACACGCATGCCTACAACCAGCCAGAGGATCTGGTGTACAGCCAGCCCGAGATGCGGGAGAGGCCGCCCTACGCTGTCCCTTATGGGCCGCAGGGAGGCTACGGTAACAAACTCGTCAGCCCGTCTGACCAGATGAACCCAAAGAATAACATGGTGCCGAGCAAGCCGGGGGCAAGCTCCATCTCCCACACGGTGAGCACCCCAGAGCTGGCCAATATGCAGCTCCAAGGCACCCAGAACTACAACGCGGCCCATATGCTCAAAAACTATCTCTTCAGGCCACCGCCCCCCTACCCACGGCCACGCCCTGCCACCAGCACCCCAGACCTCGCCAGCCACCGTCACAGGTACGTCAGCGGCAGTAGCCCCGACCTGGTGACCCGCAAGGTGCAGCTCTCGGTGAAGACCTTCCAAGAAGACAGCTCCCCAGTGGTGCACCAGTCTCTCCAGGAGGTGAGCGAGCCCCTCACGGCCACCAAGCACCACGGCACGGCGAATAAGCGCCACAGCCTGGAGGTGATGAGCAGCATGGTACGGGGCATGGAGGCCATGACCTTGAAATCGCTCAACATCCCCATGGCGCGCCGAAACACACTCCGGGAGCAGGGGCCGCCCGAGGAGGTGCCGGGGAGTCACGAGGCTCACCAGCTTCCCCATTACCACCACAAGAAGACCCTCTCGGATGCCACCATGCTGATCCACAGCAGCGAGAGTGAGGAGGAGGAGGAGGAGGCCCCAGGGTCGGTGCCCCAGATCCCCATGCTCCGGGAGAAGATGGGGTACAGTGCCCAGCTACAGGCAGCCTTGGCCCGAATCCCAAACAAGCCCCCGCCCGAATACCCTGGCCCGAGGAAGAGCGTTAGCAACGGGGCCCTGAGGCAAGACCAGGTCAGCCTGCCTCCTGCGGCCGCCAGGGCTAGGGTCCTGAGGCACGGGCCGGCCAAGGCCATCAGTGTTTCCCGAGCGGATCAGCTGGCCGTGGCTGGGCCTTCCCTCGGTCCGTCCATCTCCGAACCCGACCTGACAAGCGTGAAGGAGCGGGTCAAGAAAGAGCCTGTGAAGGAGAGACCGGTGTCTGAGATGTTCTCCCTGGAAGACAGCATTGTAGAGAGAGAGATGGCCATCAGGGTAAGTGTCCTCCTCTCCCACGGCAGTGTTCAGCGGGCACTTCAACACACAGCCTCCTCCCCACCGCCCCACACAGCTTGCTCCGCTCCTTCTCCATGACTCTCGGCTTAAAGTATGAAAGCACATGTGCTCTGGGCCCTGAAGAAGGTGCGAGGCTTATTCAGGGAATCTGTTAGGAAGTTAGAGAATCAGTTGGCATTTCAACAGGTAGCGTTTCATTTCACAAAACTTTGTATTTTTACCCCTTCAGCTAAACCTTCCGTTTTTCATTCATGGCTTCTAATTGGTACATTTGGCCCAAGGCGCTGTAATGGCGTTAGGATGCTGTAGGTTGGTTGTTGAGATCAGCCTCTAGGCCAGCATCGTGCTGTTTATTTGGGGTCAAATTTCCTGTGTGGGAGTGGCTAGGAGCTCTCCTTCCTACGTCTCTTGTTCCTATTTTAGGGGGAAGCATTCCTCTCCCCCCCCCCCCCCCCCCCCCCATTTATAGTGAAAGAGCAACATCCCTTCAGAGCACAGCTTTGTGTGGAGATCCCTCTCCCAGGAAGGCCCACCAATATTGACCAGACCACGACGTGTCCATTTTATTTTCAGATTTTCTTTCAGTAGATGGTTAAAACACAGAGCAAGAAAACTACAGTATTACTCAGAAGTTCACCATTGAGTTTCGGTCCCCATTAAGCTCATTCTATCAAAATTCACACACACGCATGGAAACACATGCATACATATACGCACACTTACGACATTTGAAGATGCCTGATATCAGACATAAGTAACTCTGATTCAGGGTATGTACCAGCTTGGGGGCCGGGTAAGCTGTCAGAGCAAGAGCGTGTAGGTAACAGGTGCGCACGCAGAACGACAAAGTGAGTTAGCTCCTACTAATGAGAAAATTGCCAGATTGTAGTTGCTACTTTAAAAAAAAATTTCAGAGCGCCATTGCTGCTTGTTCTGGACATTTTCACAACCTCAAAAAATAAAAAATCATTTCCTTTCATCACAACTAATCAAGCCCTGGTTGACTCATCCTCTGTGGGCACCACATCTCTGCCACAGGGTCTCTGCCACTTAGCAACTCCAGAACATGTAAGTGAAAATTTGCTCTGATGGAGTTCTTAGACTCCCTTCCTTTTATAAGTCTCCCTGCACCGCAGTGGTAATCAAGCTGAAGAGAACAGTCGAGGGCCCACGGTTTAAGGAAGCCACGTTTGTGGGTTCCGGAATCTAAACTGCAGCAACTTTATTACTTTAGACAGAACCTTCAGAACATTCCCAGCAGCACCCTTTTGGCCACCAGTGGAGCAGCGCTAAGGATCTGGTACAGGAATAACTTTTTCCACTTTTTGCAAACCTAGAAGGAAATCGTGAAGGATGTGCTTGTGCCTCCCCTGGCCAATATAACCGTTTGGCTGACAGATGGAATGAAACGCGGGGGTGGGGCCACGGGGGAGACCTTTCCCAGCTTGGAAAAAGTAACGCATTGGTAGAAATGGATTTTCAGTTCGTCTTGGCCGCAGGCCCCTTGACCACAACTCAAGAACCTGTCAGCCCAGGCAGCCAGCTTTGCTGTCACCCCTGCCCACTTGATGTTTATTGACGCCTACGTGGTCCCATAGCCTCATGTTGGTTGTTCATCCCCTCCTCTTGTTACCTGTGTTCAACAAAGCCCTCTATCCAGACCCACGGCATTGGCTTTCTACGTAGAGCTTCACAAAGAAGCAACGGGATTTTCCACTGTTTTTCCCCTGTGTTCTCCCACCCCATCCATGTGGATAATAGTGAATAGCTGATCCCACCCCTTCGTTGTAGTTCGGGAACATCGTTACCCCATCCCTACTTCATTCTCCCATTGATTTTTTTTTTTTTTAAATTATATATACTCAGGTGCTCAGAGACCACAACCCTTGTCTGAGGTCTTGACCTTAGAGAAAGACTAGGAAGTTCTTCAGTGAGCCAGTGTGCCAGCGAGATAGCGATGGTGCCAGTGGCTCTGAAGGTTGGGGTGGTTTCCCATCTGCTTTTTTTTTAATGAAGAAACTACCCCCCCCCCCCCCC